ATGGTTGCCAGCCAGCATAGAGATGGCATAACGGTCATCCAGTGGCGGGACAAGCGCCCTGTATTTTGTATGTCAACGTGTCATGGAGATGACATCGACGATCGAAATGTGCCGCTGATTGTAAAGGATTACAACAACTGCATGCACTTCGTAGACTCTTCAGATCAGATGAGCGCGTATTACCCTTTTGTAAGAAGAACCTCGAAATGGTACGTGCCGCTTTTTCTTCCCACATTACCTTCAGACACATGGTTAATTTCGGGCACGTTTTGCAGCGCAACAGCAAAGGTGTCGTTCTTGATTTCAAATGCAAGGTGGCCGAAAGCTTGTTGGGGCTCGATGGATCAGAAACATCGTCGCGCAGGAATCGATGGACGAGAAGGGTGTTGGAACGGGTCGACGGACCGGCGGCTCAAACCCGGGGGAATTGTAGCGCATGCTACATAACAATGGCCGTCGAACTGGGCAGCATTAGCAAAAAAAAGTCAAAAGGTTAATACCGCGCTCCCGCTTGCGAAAAAGTTTCTTCTGTTTAAATGTTTAACATCTGCTTCATTTAGGTGTAAGTTGTATGCTACCACACATTTTTCTAATCTCCATATTCTGAATATCTACAGGTCGGTTAATCATCTCATATCCTCGAAGGTACAGGTTATTATCTCATTCTCTGAAAATACAGGTACATTGTTCGCTTTGAATAGTAAAGATTTGAAGAGTTATCCCATAAAAGTCTTTTGAAACTCCTTTTGCCGCGCCTATCGGACGAAGAGTGCTCTTCTTCAGCGGCAAAAAGAGATACTCTCGTATTTAAGACGCCTGATAACCCTGGTATACAAATTTATATCAGTTTCAGTGGGATAGTTGGTAGCACCAATTTAGTCACTATTGGCGTCATATTGGCGCCGGCGTTAAAAACCGATGTTACATTCTTGATCAGGGTATCGAATAATACCTGCAGGCGATGTTCAGCAGAAATTTTTTCGATTTTGCCGGTAGAAGAGTTTCAGTACCGCCCTAAAACTCTTGTAATGATATCTCTGCGTCCACTATCAGCATAGTCGAAGAAAGGTGTGAGAGCGTATCATCCATCAGGCGAAAACTCATTTGAAGAGGTGGACTGTCCTAAGAAATTCCATGAAAACCCCGTCGCCGATATGGTACATGTCCGAAGTGGACAATCTCGGGCCAACCGCCGGCGACATGTCGTGAAGGCGTTAATCACCCAGATCTTCGTGAAATCCACTAGCATTTCACTCGCCCATATTCGTCAATCCGCAGCGAGACCTTGCGATCCCCTATCTCTATTCAAACCCGGGTACCGCTAGTCAAATTGAGAGCCTTGCCTTCATCTCTGTATAGCCACTTAGTCCATACGTGGGCCCAGTATTTACGTACATCATAGGAACATTGTAGCAGATATCTATCAAATCTCAATCGTACCTTGCTTATTGAGGGGGCGTTCCCCCACCACTTCAAACAAGTATCAGGACCCTACCCTTCACAGATTGCAGTAAAAATATTTTATAGAAGTTTCACCTTCAACACTGTGTACAAGAAGAACATAACAACTGGCAAGTAAGTAACAATATTAAAAAAATCCTAGTCTCAACAACAAGAATTTACCCTACACAATTTTCATGTGTATCGACCCGTATGTGATCAAGAATCACCCAGCGTGGAAGCGATTTGGTTACTTCCACTCGTAGTTCTTCCACGGAGACTCCTTTTGAGCGATAGAGGAAGTCACCATCAGTTGAAAACCTTCCCAAGAACGTCCTTTTTCCCTTTTCGACAGCGTATACTTCTGTTTCTGGTCCGAACTTGTCCAGAACAGCAGGAGGAACGCCGCTGAAGAAACATTACACCTAAAAGGAAAAGCTGATAAGAGGCACTTCGACATTTTCCGATTCGAGTTGTAGGTTATAATTTGTAGAACCAAATCAAATCTCAAAAAGCGAAATCGTTTTGGTCTGGGCTATTCTCATTTAAAAGTCACGACAAACAGGCAGGTTCGTTTTCAAAGGAGCGGGGCTCTGACTCACTACTTGAGATTCTGACCTTCTAATCTGAGGCGTTTCGCATAGGGGGCGAGGGTTTTACGAAGTGGCGGCACAAACTTTAAAATCTTCGAAAAGCGGACAAAATTCCGCAAAGATGCCAGAGTGGGCTTCGCTCGAGGGGCGGAGCTTGGTATGCCAGTGCATAAATGCGTGTTTTTGTTTCATCGTATGAAAAGTGCATGTGGAATTAGCGGCGCTAAAGGAAGTTATGGAATTCTGCGACAAATTAACTTGATTTGAAAAGTGGGCGGAGTCGCCATTGTATCGCATTCCTTTTCAACAACTACGGTCCTCATCATTGCGGACCGGTGGGGCGTGTCAGCCAGTATGAGTGTGCACACTGTTGAAGCCGTTCTCAGCCTTTTTGTTGAAACGCGTATGCGACAAAAAGTGGTAGAAAACGAGTAATACGAAGGAATACAGTAATGTCACTTGCCCGCTTCAACAACTGGTGCAGAACGACTTTGGCACCGCGCCAAACGCAGCCGCACTGACACGCCCCACCGGTCCGCAATGATGAGGACTGTATGTATGTAAACTGCACATCCCAGCAATGGAGTGGGCGTGGCTGCGTAAATTACTTGAAGCGCGTTGTTCGTGGAATATTTCCATCTGAGATACCGTTTGAAACACTGTTGTCTTTGAACTGAACAAAGTCATGGTGTCAATTGTTCTAAAACTGTAATTTCCCTTCAGCAGCGCAGCTGTGCCAGTTTGGATGAAGTACGCAACCACGGACTCTCCATCTTTGGGATATGGAGTGTATGTGCGAATTAACAAAAGTGCAAGAAGTTACGGAAGCATAAGGTATAAAATGAAATTTCTAAAGTCATGACCACTTTGAAATGTGGACGTGTCTGTCGGGGGTCGGAGCTTGTAGTAGTGTGTAATGTGGCATAGTCAAGTAGTAAGTTGGCTCCGAAATTCCCTGAGTTTGGAAATACCGTGAATCTGGTCCTGAAAGTCGTGAATTCGA